GTAAACATAAAACAAAACAAAACAAAACAAAACAAAACAAAACAAAGAACTTGTGCCCTCAAGTATAAACCTCACTCAACCCACATAAGTAAAAATGAAATTAGAAAAATATATAAAAGAAAGAAATAAAAACCAGGCTGGGTGTGATGTACACTCCCTTAATCCAAGCACTTGGTAGGCAGAGGCAGGTGAATTTCTCTGAGTTCAAGGCCAGCCTCATCTATACAGAGATTTCCAGGACAAGCAGAGTCACAGTGAGACCCTGTCTCAAGTAAATAAATAAGATAAATTAAAATTACAAACAGAAAAAAAAAAGACAACCTTCTGGGAGAATTCTTGGCCTCCCAGAATGACTCCAGGCAGTGTTCAGACAGGAGTTCATGCAGGGGCCCCTGGACATTCTCAGGAGTTCTTGTGTCTTGTCTTCAGGATTACTCTTGGCCCCTGGTGTAGGGAGGCTGGGAGACCAGCCGATCCCCTCAGAGTACAGCTTGCTACTCTGCAGAAAAAGACCTATTACCATCCCGGGGAGTGCTTAGAAGGACAGCTCTGAGCCCTGAGCAGGAAGCCCCTGAGCTCTGGGCACCCCAAGAAGCATGCTGACTGCCCTCCATGGAGCTGGCTCTGGGTCATCTGGAACCCAGCAAGGCTACCAAGGCCACTGTCCTCCCTAGTCCAAGACTGCCAGAGATCGTGGGTCAGGGTGCTCTGTGGCTGAGGCCTGAGAAGGAAGCCAGCGGGATTGACACCTGACTCTTACAAGTCACTAAGTGACTGACAGTAACAACAGTCAGTGTTGTGCCAGCATCCCTGCAGCGATGGATGAAGAGGCTGGTAGTGGCTTCACCAGCACAAGAGAATGACAGGGCATGAGACAATTATAGAGCTGGTGACTGGCCCCTGAGAACAGAGCTACTGAGTGTCACCAGCAGTCAGTCTATGGGGGCCACTGTGCACAGGTACATGTCCCCACATGAGTCACACCTATACCCTTGGCACAGGATGTGGAACTATAAGCTCATTTGGAAACAGTTACAGAAATCTGTGTTCTGTGGCTGTAAGGAAACACCCAGACTGGGCACCTCACAACAAAGAGGGCCCCCTTAGCTCAAGCCTTTCTTTCCCTCCCCTCAGACGTTCACTGTTTCAGTCAGAGGGTCTCTGCAGGCTCTGTGTGACACTTCCAATAGCACCACTCTTGCCTCAGCATGGAAAGCAAGAGTCACCTGAACACAAATGCCAAGAGTCCACAAACCCTCATGACCAAGGCAACTGGTGCCCATTCTGTGGGTGGCACCTGCAGAACAGCAGCACATGCACAGGGGTCCCATGGATTATGTAGAGTGTCGAGGAATTGTGCAATGCCACAGAGAACAAGCTCAGTTTAAAATCTACAAGCCACCAGGTGGTGGTGGCACAGGCACACACCTTTAACCCCAATACTCAGGAGTCAGAGGCAGGACAATCTCTGAATTTGAGGCCAGCCTAGTCTACAGAGTGAGAGTTCCAGGAGAGCCAAGGCCACATGGAGAGGCCCTACCTCAAATAAAGCAAAACAATCCAAAAGCAAAACAAAGCAAAACAAAAACAAAAACTAAAACTAAAAAACCTACAAACAGCTTCTTTAGGGACTTTTCCGTTTCTTATTTTCAGCCCCTGATTGACTGTTGGAAACTGAGGCTCAAGCAAATACAAACACAAACAGATACAAACAGGAGCCTTCTGCACTTGTGCCGTAGGTGGCTGATCTGCACAGATGAACTGATACAAGCTGGAGACGCCAGACTAAAAAAAAAAAAACACTTAAACTATTTTTCTCTTTTCAAGTCAGCATCACGAGTAGCTGACCTCAAACTCTCTAAGTAGTGAAGGATGACCCTAAATTCTAGATCCTTCTGGCTCAACGTCTTAAGTGCTGGGACAAGAAGTACGAGCTGTTGAGCTTGGCATAGAAAACCTATTCTGTTACTCAGTTGGTTTTGTTTGTTTGTTTGTTTGGTTTTTAAGTTTATGCACCATAGGATGCTGAACCTTCCTTGGGGCTGTAGAGCAAAAAGCAGAAACACACCACCCAAGCTGGTTCACATCTGAGCCCTGTGATCTCACATGAAGACCTGCAATGACCTCGGTGGAAGAGGAACCTAGATGAACACAGCAGACTAGAAGCAACTGCAGTGAATCTACACAGCAGACAGCAACGTTCCATACGGAGGGAGGGCAGGCACAAGAGGTCATAGGTCAATGGGGGCCACCCATTCCAGCTCCTTACTCCAGATACCCTAAGGGATAAAGAAGTCTCCCACATGGGATCATGCCTCATCCAGGTTTGGGACTCATGGGACAGGCCTGGAGGTAGACTTGGTTCAAGACACTCCAGGCCACACTCCTGAAGTTTTTCCCATGCCAACCTCTACATGACTGAGAATCTGCTAACAGTCCTGCTTGGGGACAATGATAGGAAAAAATGCATCAAATGTGCCCCCCATATTTCTGGTTTTTCCTTTTAAAAAACATTTCCTATGAATCTTCTTTGCTCTGTGTGACTGTTTGCATGAGTTTATGTGCATGGCATGCGTAGGAGCTCTTGGTGACCAGCTCTTCTGGAACTGGAGTTGCAGATGGCTGTGACCCACCACGTGCATGCATTGGTCACAGGCATGCAGGTGAGCAGCATGTGGAGGCTGGGGACAGCTTGGGTGTCATACCCTGGAACACTGCTGGCCTCTGAGGCAGGGGCTCTCTTTCCCTGAAGCTCAGCCCTTACTCTCATCTGGCTGGCTCACAAACCCCAGCCTCCTGTTCCTGCCCCTAGTGCTGGGATTTGCACACAGCCATGTTCAGCATTTCCACAGAGCCCTGGGAGAGGTCAAACTTAAGTCGTTGTGCTACTGAGGAAAGCACTCTGTTGACCCCTAGCTCCCACATGGACCAGCCTTCAGTCAGCTGGACATAGAGCCTGCACATATCAACTGTTAGGGGATGCTACTTAGCAAAGGGAAGAAAAGAGTTCCCGAATTACAAAAGGCAGAGGACACCCAGGAACAATTGAATTAGTAGGACTGAACTGCAAGGGGGCATAGTGAGCCCAGCCTTGTGCCCAGTGAGCTCATAGGGGACGAAGACTGCAGTGGGAATGGACAAAGAACAAAAGTAGGTTCACAGGGTGGTGGGGACATTGCACCACACTAAGGTGGCAGCCCAGGCTGTCACATTGCTGCCCACAAACACGGAGACCCAGCTCTGAGGTGCGGTGCAGGCTTAGGTAAAGTCAGCACAGCACACTGGCTTCTGTTATAACAGCACACCACAGTGCCATGAAGCAGAAGAGACGAAGTTGAGAGGTGGTACATGAGAGGTCTGTTACCTGCTTAGTGCTCTCTGACCCGACACTGCCTTCAAATGTTCCTACTGAGCCTGGTGGTGGTGGAGCACACCTTAAATCCCAGAACTCAGGAGGCAGAGGCAGGTGGATCCCTGTGGATTCTGAGGCCAGCCTGTTCTACAAAGTGAGTTCCAGGACAGCCAGAGCTACAAAGTGTGACCCTGTCTTAAAAACGAAACAAAAGAAAAGAAAAACAAAAGCCCGCTGGCACCAGCGATGTAGTTCAGTGGGTGAGGCACGTGGTGATCTGAGTTTGATCCCTAGAATCCATACATAGGAAAACTAACCTCAGAAAGTTGTCCGCTGACGTCTAGGTGTGCACTGTGCCTGCCACACACACACACACACACACACACACACACACACACACACACACAC